AATAACTTGCCTTCCGACGCTATATAAAATAATCACCTCAATAATAGTCACAAAGGTATCTAAGCATCTAGAAAGACACCATATCTTAACAGAAGAGCAAAAAGGATGTCGTTATGGGTCTCAGGGCTGCAAGGAACAACTGATTATAGACACCATTACTACACACGATGCCCGTCTTAGATCACGCAATATTGCAGTGGCATGGATTGACTATCAAAAAGCCTTCGATTCGGTGCCACACTCTTGGCTAATTGAATGCTTAAGACTCTATAAAATCGATGAGAAGATAGTCAATCTATTAGAAAGGTGTATGAAAAACTGGCAGACCGAATTAGTTGTAAACCTTGATACTGGATCTGTGAACACCGAAGAAATACCAATACGAAGTGGAATCTTCCAGGGCGATGCGCTAAGCCCTATATGGTTTATCCTGAGCCTGAATCCCCTCTCCTGGGCCTTAAAAAGATCGAACCTAGGATACGAGCTGAAAAATGGAGACCAAAAGTATAAACTAAGCCACCTCTCTTACGTTGACGATCTGAAGCTATATGCGGGATCTGAAAACACACTGAATAGATTAATCCAACACACAACAATTCTCAGATGACATCAAAATGAGATTCGGGTTGGATAAGTGTGCCAAACTTATAGCTCATAAAGGTATACCAAAAACTTATGATAAGCTGGAATCTGAAACCGAAATAATGTATCTTAACAACGCGTATTATAAATATCTAGGATATGAGCAGAATCTTAATATTAATCAGAACAATGCTAAGGCTAATATAGAAACTAAACTGCAAAACAGGGTGATAAAAATATTAAAAACAGAACTAAACGGAAAAAACAAAATTAAAGCCGTAAACACATGGGCGGTACCGATAATCACGTACACGTTTGGTATATTAAAATGGTCTAACACTGACTTGGAGAGGCTGAACAGGAAAATAAGGACCCTCATGACAGAGCATAGAATTCACCATCCTAAGGCATGCACTGAAAGGCTATACTTACCAAGATCGACGGGCGGAAGAGGATTGGCTGACCTCAACACGTCAAGTAAATCAGTTAAAGAAGTTCTTCCACCGTAAAAAAGATACTTCGACGTTGCATAAGCTCGCTTGTCAGTCGGATAGATACTCAGCTGTAGATCTCAGAAAAAATGAAATAAAAGAGATACCAACACTTGATGAGGTAAAAGAGAAGTGGTTGAGTAAGCCCCTACATGGAAAATATCCAGCTAGTTTAAAAACTGCTGGGAGCGAATCAACAAATTGGTTAGTTAAGGGGCAGCTATTCGCTGAAACTGAAGGATTTATCACAGCTATTCAGGATGGAAGCATAGCGACTAGGAATTATAAGAAGTATATCCAAAAGATCAGAATAGATGATGATAAATGTCGTATGTGTGGACGGGTGCCATATTGTACACCAAGAACTAGCAATGCTATGCAACCTAGGAGAGGGAAAATACAGTCCATATTTTAAATACATACCTGCTCCAGTTCTTGAGAACGAAAATTATCGGCTATACTGGGATACACCTATAGTAACAGATAAACTAATAGCCAGCAATAGACCAGACATTGTTCTGCTGGATAAGGCTAATAAAAAGGCGTATTTCATCGACGTCTCACATCCCTCGGACCACAACCTGGAACAGAAAGAAAGAGAAAAAATTAATAAGTATTACGACTTGGCAGAGGAATATAAAAAAATACTCACCCTAAAAGGAGTACATGTTATCCCTGTAATTATATCGGCCACTGGGCTAGTTACCAAGAAGCTTGCAGGATACCTGGAAAGACTGAATATAACGAATAAAACCATCGTTACAAAAATGCAAAAGTCCGTAATACTTGAAACTTGCAAAATCGTCCGAAAGACCCTGAATATGCCGGAGACATAAACCTTCCCCCCCCCCCAACTTTAGTGACTGGTTAATAAACCCCACTAAAGCTGCTACCCTAAAAGGGAGGATAATAATAATAATAATAATAATTATTATTATTATTATTATTATTACTAATATTATTATTATTATTATTATTATTATTATCTTATATTGGATGTACAACGTTTAGCAGTATGCCATGCAGAATTCTAGGATGTCAAAGCCTGTATTCAAATCACTAATATAATCCATATTTATCCCAACTAATTACCAAAATAATATTAAATCATATTTACTAGTAAATAAGTAAAGGTAAAAAGGTCGTATAATTTCACAGTTTCGTGGTACAATGGTGGCAAGCGACGCTGTCACTCTTATATTTGTAACAACTGTATATCAATTTTAACAATGCGGTTTCTTTCCATTGCGATTTCTCTTTCTCCACGTCAGTCGGGGAAAATAAGTCCCTGTTACCGCAGATCCGTTTTACGGGCAGGGTCCGTAAATATGGGACGTCAATTACGTGACGGATGCCGTTCGGGCATCATTCTGCCACTTTTTTCGGTAAACAACTTCTCCCTGTAAACAACTCACTATCAACAAGGGAAGTCGGTTATTTGTCTCCGCGGGATTTATTGCTCGGAAAGATTCCGTTATATTAAATTTTGGATTTACATCGCGATTTGAATGCATAGCTTGAAAGATAATTTTTACCGTTACGGCTGCCGCTGTCAGGTATACGTCATTCAATAGGGCAAGTGGTTGTGAAAATCTACATATTATACTAATATTTTTATTCCAAGTGCACTCCTGCGAAATTATTTAGAGATATTTTAACAACTGCAACTCTCCCAACAGCACGTAGCGTCCAAAATAGTAAACCATAATATTTTGATAATCCCAGCCATTTCAAAAAACGCCTTAGTCGGAAAAAATGCTTATTTTATAATAATTTAACAGATTAATCCATTTAAAAATAAGTTCAACGAGAAATTCGATAACCAGATAAAAATCTTTTTTTACTGCCCATTTACAAGATGACCTTTTCGGTCTCAGAATAGGGAGGAACATTTTTTCCCTGCTGCTAGAAGCGAGGGAAGTGTTCTCTCCCCGTACCGCAACGTAACATATTGAATAATACATATTTTTGATTCAATTTTTTTCCCTTCATCTACAGCAGTCGAGTTTCTTTGGCTACATTTTCGTTTAGGTGGAAACTTAGTTTTAAATATTAGTATATTCAATTAAGAAACTTAATTTAATATCAGTTGCATAAAAATGAACTATGTAACTAAGTAAAGTTATTTGTTATATATTTTTTTCAAACTTTTTCTTTGTAATTTTTACCAAATGTTTACACTACTACGTTCATTCTTATGGACGAACACAATATGCAGTTTTTACTTTAGAAAGTTGTTGATAATTGGTTGGCGGAAATATTTTAGATATGCACCAGAATAACATCATTTACTTGATCTATACTTTCTCAATTCAAATTTTAATCAACTGGCACACTTGTTCATATCCCTCGCGAGATTGATTTGTATTAACTCAAGTGATACCATCTTGGCTGACTGCCCAAACTCTGATAGAATATCATCTTGGTTACAGCATCTTGCTGCCGAAAGAACACAGACGTCGGTAGATTGTTGTAATATACATTGATTGTTTCAATAGTTCCGCAAATGATTATTTTTAACAGAAGATTTTGTATTGTTCTAATTCTTGAAATTTTTGAGTACAACAGGCTCTGGAAAAAAAACTATATACGAGTAAAATGTATTTCCTTCCTTGGTATGTAAATAACTGTATAAAACTGCAGAAATTTAACACACTAATAATCTATACATACGTATATATACAACGTGTTTCACCGGAAAATTTTTCAATGACGGCATTTTCTTTGACATCAGCTAAGCTACCAATTTAATTTTAAGTGTACACTATATATTATTCCATATTTCAATTCCTTAGAGACTTCAAGACATATTTCGTATAAATTAGTCTATAGCGAAATTGCTCGTTATGCTGCTTGACGAAGCTGACCTCTTAAAGTGACCCTTTTTGCACCCTTGATCAATGAATTGAGTATCCTAGAGCACCTAATGGAAATTCATAAGAATTCTTATGTGTTTTCATTCCTAGAAAAGAAAAAATATATGGAGAATTTTAACTAACCATTAAAATTAAGCTAGTGGTATAGTAACACTTGCTAATCATAATTCGGAGATCATTTTAATAGTATATCAGTTGCGAAAGCAAATAGTCACATCCTTGGTTTTATTGGTGTCATTTTTGGATTAAATAATTAGTTTTGTTCGATTGGGTTGATAAGTTTTGAACTATTGAGTTACCTCTACGCTAAAAGCTAACTACGATGCCACGTTTGCCACGATTGCCAGGCCAAAATTGTTCTTTCCTTAGATTGAAAGTTTGACTAATAAATAAATACGACTCTGGCAGTCTAAGGTAGAAATAATTTATAATAACAGGCTGCAAAGCAGATATAATTTGCATATTGTCAAGGGCAATCTGTTTTATCGGTTGTTTGGGTTCCGTACATCGTAAACTATTATATTCTCTCTATAGAGTAATAAATTAAGTGTACTCGCTCGGAAAAGTAGCGCTGTATTGTTACCAGTACACGTTTCCTCTCGAACAATTTGCTACAGTTTGCGCGAAGTCTGAGTTATTTCGAAACGTTGACTTTCGATTTTCGTTTAAGAGCAAATGGACTTGCTCAAAATGCCCACCTTTAAGAATCATGTTAACCCTTCAAAATACTAACTTTAGTGCAATGCGGTGGAACATTCGTCGAAGACTTCTTTCATGAGTTGACAGCTGATATTCTTATTTGGCTTTAACCATAACGTCTAAACCGTCACAGTTTTTGGTAGAAAATTAGTATGCGTAATCCGAATTTAGATTGCAAGAAATCTTATAATCTATCCGGATAACATAATTTTCCGCAAACATTTCCAATTAGCTTGGCACAGCAACGGTGTTTTACCAACTAATCCAATTTAATGATTATTTCATTTCGACGTGGCATAATATCCAAATTAGTGTTGTCTCTTATGTGCAGAGTTCTAACAATCCGTTTTAGTTTCAGCGCACGTGAGATGTACTTCAACTAATTAGATCATCCGACACAATGAAAGGCGGCTTGGCGTTTCTGCTGACCCTTCTATCTCTGAGCAGAGTTCAGTGTTTGCACGAAGACGAATGCATTACGTAAGTTTTAGCTTTAAACTAGTCGCAAAGTTGAATACGAAATTAAGCTTTGTCTAGCCTGCAACTTTTATCACGGTTGGTTTTAGTAGATTGCGTTTTGTTTTAACAGGGCGCAGGGCGTCTTCGTTATTTAACCGTTGAAAGGACTTATCAAATTACCTAATTGCTCGTTCAGGGTTTCATTATAGGAACAATCCATGAGGCGGGTGTTCCTTTTCAAAACGCATTTACATATACAGTGTGATACAGAAATTGCAACACTCGGTATATGCTTTGTTGGTTGGTAATGTTTTGTCGGTTGGCTGCCTCCATGAAACATATCATTTTCGCCTAAATCGGGTAACAAATTTTCAGATTTTTTTCTAAATTTAGTAACAAAATAAAATGTTTTTTTTTACTTTTTTAAATATTTTAAAAGTATTTACAACATGGGTCTAGCAATGCCTTATGGAAGAACTCATAGCTTATATCGTCATTTAAATGTATTTGATCAAGGGACGATAGTGTAAGAGAGGCTTCCGGAAAAAATGGAAACGAAATACTACAACCACTGTTATATCGCATCACTATGCTATCTTGGGCAGAGGGGTGTTTTGGGGCCTTAAGAACAACCAGTGACCACGAAAAAGGGCTTTTAGGACTTAGTACCCTTAGAAATAGTTTCTGCACAACCAACGCAATAATGGAAGATAGCTACGAGTAGACAGAAGTGCCTGAGAAGCTCTACAGCTAATTTAACCCTTCTTCCATAGTTTCGCAGGCTGAGTCGATTGGCGCATCTTATATTGAAACTACCACAGACGCATAGCGAAGGGGGGCTATATATTTTTTAGAATTTTTTTGGTTTGAAAATCATTCTATATGATAGGGATATATATTGAATCTCTAATACCAAATTGGCAAGGATCCAGGGCAGTACTTGAAATAAAGTAATTAGCCGAGGAAGCGCAAACTGCTATATCAAAGTAGTCTTGTTCTTCACATCTCCTTAGATAAATAAAAAAAACAAAAAAGACACATTTTTTAAAATTCTCTACAGCCAGCCAGTCTAAACAGGCCAGACCCAAAAAGATGTAAAATAGACATAATAGAACCATATTTCCGACTTTCAATATTCAATATCCTAATTCTTCTTTTCGGTTGACATTCGTGAGCGACATGTGGGTAGCTGCTTAAGGTTGCAGGTGATGTAAGTTTAGATTCTCCAAGCTTTTAACAGCAGCAGTTTTATTAGTTAAGGTCGGTCCATTGCACTTTCAGTTTCTTTTTAATATAGTTATTGAAGATTTCAGTATGGTAATATCTCTTTCATAATTCAAGACAGATCTTGTTATTTGTTTTCCAGATCTTTATTAAACTAAATATATCATTACCATTACAGAGATTGGGCAGCACTGTACAGGTTAAAAAAATTTGGCAGAGTAAAATGCAGGGAAAACGGAAAAGAGGAAGACCCAGAGAAACGTGGGACAGCAACAGAAAAGGTATGGTAATTTACAGTTTTACAACATTCACAACACACATATTGATAAGACGACGAACCAAAACAACCAAAACAAATGATTATTGTTTTGGTTCGTCGTCTTATCAATGTGACTTGTCGATTTACATATTCGACATGTCTGTTGTGAATGTTGTAAAACTGTAAATTACCAAACAACTATATAGTGAACCGTTGATTTTTGGCTTAAGGTTAAAATTAAATGTCTGAAGAAGGTCTTGAAGGCCGAAACGTCACAAAAAATAAAATGTTTCACAAGTAACGGAAACTTATTTTAATTTCACTAAAAAAGGACCAAAAAAAACCCAAGAACCATTTCTTAAGAATATATAAAATCAAAAGGATCCAAGAACTCACAAACTATATATATATATATATATATATATATATATATATATATATATATATATATATATATATATATATATATATATATATATATATATATATATATATATATATATATATATATCATTGCTAAGTCTCATCGTAGAGATGCATATAATTCCAAAAAGAAAAACGGATGATACCCCTAATTTTACATGACACAATAATTTCTGCTCAAAAATACCTTAGCATGCCGTAAAATATATTAAATTTGTACTGTACTTTTTATTATTTTATAAGAGAAGGATCAAGCTATGTTTCTAATATTCTAACGTAGATATGCTTACATCACACTCAATAATTTAATTAGAGTATCCATTTAAGTGGACTCCAAAAAGGCGTGCTCTTTAAATTTTTGTCACGCAAAGAAAAAGTTGCATTAAGATCTTTAGGGCAAGCTTCGGGTACCATTTAAAACTTTTGAACTAGTATTCTTGAACGTACAAAACTCCTCTAGGCACATGCTACTTCTACACAAACGCTTGGTGGAGTATTGACTTTAGAAAATAATTTCCTTTTGAAAATGTAAACCGCTTTCGTATTGTCGCTGAATTCCAGATTAATGAATATTTCATTCCATATTCAGTATTAAGTAAAGACACCCAACTCAACCGATATCCTATGACAAAGGTAATATGTACATAGAATGGGTTATATATCGGTTTTCGGTAATCGATTTTTGTTTGTGAAACGAGTTTCCTAGAGTTTCAATCCCGGGCTTTGTGTATTTTAGAATTTCAGCATCTGCTTAAGATCGAAACAGTCGGAATTGTTGCAACCATCGAGCAGTGGTTGGGCGTAATAAGATAGAATAATAGAAACAATTCAAACAAATCAATTTAAAAAGGTACATACAAAGCACATATAACTGCATACTTGCAGGTGATGTTATATAGGAGCTATAGAGAACTAGATAGACAGTTAGGCAGTGCTTACTTTAATGCCTAAACTGCCATGAAAAACGAAAAATTCCACTTTCGAAATTTCCAATTTTCCAAATTTAAAATTAAGTAGAAAACAACTCACATTATAAGAGTGTGTATCGGAAAACTATAGCCAAACCAAGCATCTTAAAAACCTTGTACTTGATGAGAACTTTGTTTTGTGTAAATGGGAATCTGAGCAGAGATTTATATAAATTTCGCAACAAATTTAATAGAAACAGAGTCTGTCAAGAACATTTCCCTTCACTTTATTAGTAGTACAGATTTGTTAGCGAGTACAGGCAAGCAAGAGGATCAATAGGATTTTAAAGCTACGGAGCTACGAGATGAACCTGAAGGAAGGCAAAGGCAAAAAACTAATCGAACAATTAATTTTAACGGCCAATAGATTTGACATAAAATTAATATTAAGCGATTGCAAATTCAGCTGTCTAGAGTCAGCAGGATGCGCCAGTCTCGGCGGATATGTCTAGCGCTTTAAAAGCTTGTCGAGAACTATTCATGTTTAAATTCGAATAATTAGGATAAGATTGTATTATATTACAATAAGGAGCTCTTAGAAAATTTCATTAATCACAGTTAGCAATTCACTTGCTTACTTAACTGCCGCAAATGCATCTGGCTATGGTATGACATTTGATGATTGTTTTTGTTTCAGAGTTATTTATCATTGTGTATGTTCCTTAATGTTCCAAATTTGGGAGCTAGATTTTCTTTTTTTTTACACACTCCATTTTTTTTTAATTTCAATTAATTTCAATATCTGAATTTGATTAATGGTTTATTTTTTAAAGAAACTTCCACAGCTTACTGTAATACTTTTTATAAAACTTCTGGTATAAAAAGTATTGATTAATGGTGGAATAATATTTAAACAGTTTATCAACAACAGAAACTTAGTAGCTTAAAAGTATCCTTTGATACAAATAATTCTAACAAGAGCAAATGCGCGTTAGCTCGATTTTTGATTGTTCACATTGTAACACTTTGGGAATCAGGTTAATCACATTATTGGATGTATGAGTCTAAATCTAAGTCATTTTTAATGAATTATTGATTTTGTGAATTCTGTAGTCACTGATCTTAATTAATAAAAATCTTGTTTAATAAGATATTAATTAATAAGAATTTGAAAATTTATTAGAACTTAATCCAAATATTCCTACCTGAAGTGCATAAAAATGGCAAATTTGTATATATAATATTAATTTCACGTGAGTTGGATAACTGTTACGACTTTTCTGGTTTCTCGTTTTTAGCAATTCATTAAATTTCACTTGACACTTTGTGAACAAACACATATTTCTCGTAGCATGAGTTTCTGCGGCATCGTCACAAACAAAATGTAAGCATTAAAGGGGGGCCAAAAATAACAAAGCAATAATTTCCTACTTGCCGGGGGCTGCTACTATTCACTATTCACTATTCAGAAATATTTTGCGCTTCTTTTTACATTAACAAGTTTTCCGTCGTGCTGAAAACCGTATAAATCTGTGGGCTTTGTCCCTCCCGAACATAAAAAAGACTCATTTGTATGCTATTAATAATGTAACGTCATCAGCAGTAACCCGCAAGGGGTAAAAACGAAATTTGAATACGCGAGCACTCTTTCTCGCCGTCCTTTTATTTTTATATAAAAATATTAAGGGATGAACGAGGGTGTTTATAATGGACTTTGATGGGACTTTATAATCTTTAGAAACGCGAAGCAGTCAAGTTTGTGGTAGTTCGAAGCCATCAATATCAATCAAATAAAATAAAGTGCTCCACCTATAGTAATAGTTAAAAATTTAGACAATTGTGAAGAACGGATTACATTATGAACAACAAATTTATTGTTGATTGTTGACTGTAAGATCTGGAATGAAAAAAAATGACACAATATACAAATATTAAATAAGCTTTCAGCTCCTAGTGTGTTACCGAAATTATTTAAAATCTATTCTCGCAATATGGTAAAGGTAATCGTTCAACACACATTTTGACGAGATATGATTTGATGCGTATGACACCCGCCCAGAAAGATGAAACGATTCAATAAGTAGGGATCAACCTTAGCTCGCCCGAGTAACGTAAACGACCGAGGGTTCAGAGAACAGTTCTATCCCAAATTTTTATTTGCGAAGAATTGATCCACTCATCTTTGGAGTTTCATAAGTCAAATCTCA